CTGCGGAAGGGAACGGACGGCGGTTAGAAGGGGGACTTCGACGGGAAAGGCTCGCTGTTTCCCCTTTCTTTCTCTGTTTCCCTTTTCTTTCTCTGTTTCCCTTTCTTTCTCCCTGTCGCTTTCTCTTTCCGATGAATATGCGTGATGACTGCAGTTGATTCTACTTTTTTCTTAATCAACAGTATATATACTCTATAAGCCAGTTTACAATGCAAAACACATATTATCATTTATCCAAAACAATATATCACTTAAAACTTTCCATCTCGGCATACACACAAAAAAATATATAATCCGTAAACAGTATATACATAAAAATATTCCCAGAGAGCCTAAACTTTTTAAAAGCTCTCCAGCATCCCCGCCTGCTTCTACCCCCCCTATCCCCCCCTACCCCGCCCCCGCTTCCTTCTCTCCCTTCCTCCACTTATCCACAAACTTTTGGCCAGACGCTTCAAAATTTTCCTCCTCCTTCCCACTTTCGCTGCAGAACCGCGCCCGCACGCCACGCATCCGCCCTCAACATGAACACTATGCGCATCGCTTTTCCGTGTACAGGAAGGATTTGATTTCATCTCCATCTCCATCTCCATCTCCATCTCTCTCTCTCTCTCCCTCTCTCTCTCTATCTATCTATATATACACGCCACTCTTTCCTGATATTCTCTATCCCTACTCCTACCCCTCCCTCCCTTCCCTCCCTCTCCCAACCTCCCTCTCCCTCTCATCCTCCAAATCTTCCTTTCTCTTCCCTTCCCTTCCCTTCCTCCTCCTCCTCCTCCTCCTCCTCCTCCTCCTTTCCCCCCGCCCATAAGATGCAGGGCGCCGACGTTCCCCGATTCAGCCGCGGACAATGGGCGTCCAGCAGAGCAACAATAATTTGACAAGGAGCGGCCGTTCTATGCAAATTACGGCCGGCAACCAGTATTATCTATGGACGATTGAGAGCGTGGAGAGGGAAAAGGAGAAGGAGAGAGGAAGAGGGGAAGGGGAGAGGGAGGGGGAGAGGGGAGAGGGAGAGGGGGAGGGGGGAGGAAGAGGGGAGAGGGGAGAGGGGAGAGGGGAAGGGGAGAGGGAAGGGGACGGCGGAGGAGGAGGAGGAGGAGGGGGAGGGGGAGGGGGAGGGGAAGGGGGAGGAGGAGGTGGGGGAGGAGAAGGGGAGAGGGGCTGGAGGATGGGTGAGAGGAAGAGAAGAAGAGGGGGAGATGGAGAGGGAGAGGGAGAGGGGAGGGAGAGAGGGAGACGGAGAGGGGAGGGGACGGCGGAGGAGGAAGAGGAGCAGGTGAAGAAAAGGACGAGCAGGGGGAAAGAAGAGCGCAAGAAAGAAGGAGAGGGAACAGATAAAATAATAAGGCCAAAGGACGAGAGGAATAGTCGGAAGAAGAGGCGAAGGAAGAGAAAGCAAGAAAATAAGGAAGAAAAGGGGGGAGAGGTAGAGAGATGGAGCCTGTTTTCGGAGGTAGGAGGAGGGGAGGGGGAGAGATATACACGTCATAAATCCAACACAACACGAATCTACTTCCTCCCCCCCACCCCCCCTCCAACACCCACCCCCCCTTCACGTGACCTCGACAATTACGTCCACGAGACCTGAGGGAAAGTGTCCCATTACAGAGAAATACTGCAACTGGAGAGTGGAGGAAGAGGAGGAAGACGAAGGGGGGGAGGGGAGGAATTGGAGGAGGAGGGGGAGGAAGGAGAGGAGGAAGAGGAGGAGGAGGAGGAGGAGGAGGAGGAGGAGGAGGAGAAGGGAAAGGAGGAGGAGGAGGAGGAGGAGGAGGAGGAGGAGAAGGGAAAGGAGGAGGAGGAGGAGGAGGAGGAGGTGGTGAAGGAGTAGGAGGACGAAATAGAGGAGGAAGAGCAGGAGGAAAAAGGAAGATTATGATGAGGAAAAGGTGGAAGAGGAGGGGAGAAGGAGGAGGGAAAAGAGGAAGCAAAAAAAAAAAAAAAAAATACAAGGAAGAGGAAGGGAGATTATAGAAAGTGAAATATGAGAAAGGAGGATAAAAGTACAAAGAACTTAGATGGAATATATGATCCGGAAACGTAAAAAAAAGAAAGAAAAGGAAAGGAAAAAAATTACGTCATCTTAAATACAAACATTTTATAAACATGGTGCCTAAAGCTTTACGAAAGATATTTAATGCAACGAAGAACCCCCCCCCCCCCTCAAAAACAAAAACAAAACAAAAACAAAAAAAAATATTATAAAATAATTGCAAAACTGCATATTGCAAAACTTAATAACCTCAAAACAGCAAGCGAGTAGAAGCCGAAATATCTTAATCATAAATAAGTAGTTAACCATTTGAAGTAAATAACCATTATGTGTAATTCTCTCTAACCGCAACAGACAAGCACTTCTGAATATTTTCCCCTTTCTTGAATTCCTTTCTACCACAATTATCATTTGTCTTGTCTCCTTTTCTCTTCATGTTATTCTTGGTTTTCTGTTTATTTATTTATTTATTCTTTTTTTATTCCTTCCTTCCAAGCCCTT